GAGGCGCTGCTGGCCCGCTGCCGCCCCCGGGGCTGGGGCCGAGTAAACACAGCAGCGGCAGCCCAGGATATTTATACCGAGGGCTGGGCGTGGGTCCAGTGCCCACCACAGCCCCTGCCCTGCCCGCCGCCACAGTCAGCCCTGAGCCAGCGTGGCACCAGGCGGCGAGCACGGCAGACAGCCTCCATCGGCCCCCTCCCCGGCACGCCAGCACAGTGCAGACCCACCCTGGCAGCTGCTCCTGACACACCCACCCATGGGAATGCAAAATGCCCTGGAAGGTGCAGGGTAGTGATCCACAACTCCACAGGGATCTCACCAGGCCACATGTGGGACACAGTGCAGACAACACCTGCTCACAGTCCCTGAGCTGGACAGACAGCCCAGAAGTTCAGCCCTCACACACACACACACTCAATGGGAACCACAGCAAGCATGCTAGAGACATTCCATCCGTGAGGTACACAAATGCTCGCAATACCAGCGATGCACACGCTGGTCACAAAATGTAACCCCAAAACAGCTCAGACACACAAACGCTGGGAACCATGCACAAAAAGCACAGCTTAAGTGTAAGAGGCAAAACACACCACCTCCTGGAAAAACATCTTTCTTGCTTTACCATTACAGAATACGGTTTCAAGTCAAGCTTACACCAAGAACACACAAGCTTACACCCAGAGGTCTGTGACGATGCCGAGAAAGTACACACATCCCAGATAATGCAACCCATTCGTGCACACACTTGCCGAGTCAAACAGTGCCAGGAAGTCTCCCAGCAGAAACACATGCAGAGGCACACACCAGAGATGGAGCCTAGCCGCAAACACATGGAGCTGGACACGTGCTGGGGACACAGCGCACTGACAGCACGATCCATACCGCGCCGCGCGTCTTAGAGCACCCAGGCTGAGGCAGCTCCCACCTGCAAACACACGTCCTGAGCACATGGAAGTTCACAGGAGAAACACTGAACCCCTGATGGCCAGGGTCCGGGAAGGGGGCTTTCTCAGCTCCCCTCTGCCTCCCTTCCCCCCACCCCACGCTGACCCCAGTCCCGGGCCCATCTGGGGGAGGGGGCAGGAAGGCCTGAGCTGTCCTCCCCCAGCCGCTTCCTGCCCGGTGGGGGCCGGACGGGAAGTCGGGGCTCCAGCCGGAACCCAGGCTCCCCCCCACGACTTCCCTCGGCAGCCTAGGCTGCCCGCAGAGGCGGGGGCGGGGAGCCCCAAACCCCCTGCCCTGCCTTTGCGGTCGGCCGCGGGCGGGGGCAGACCTGTCCCGACTGGGCCGGGCCACCCAGCAGGCTGGGGTGCCAGGGTGGCAGGGCAGGGGCAGCGCACGCGCCGGGAAGGTGCTGAGCCCACAGTTTGCCGTCCCCCCAGCGCTTGTCCTCAGGCCGCGGCGACCGAGCTGGGCGTGTGAGGGCCGCGCTGCGACCTCGGGGGTGTGTCTGGAAGCCGCTCCGTCTGGCACTCTGGGTGTGACAGTGTGTCTGGGTGTCACGGGGTCGCGGCAGTCTGTGGGGCCTGTGCGACTCCTATAACGGACAGACGTGCCTGTGTGTGTGACGGTCAGACCTCCGTGTGTGGCGTGTCTGGGCAGGACCGTGACAGGTCTGACCACGTGCGTGTGCCCTGTGCCTGTTTGTGGCCATGAACCACGGAGGATGTTTGTGTAACTTGGTGGGTCCGTTTCCTGACCAGGCTGCAGCGCTGTTTGTGCATGACACTATTTGAGTCGTGTCTGGTGTCTGGTGGCTGCGACAGAGACCCTCCAGGATGTACCCGTGACTGTGTTTTGCTGGGTCCCTACTGAAGCGGTGTCATGTACTGAGGGAGCTCCGCAGGACCATGTAGGTGTGGGCTGACACTTTCCCTGTCTGCTTTTGTGTATGTGTGGGGCTGCAGCAGCTGCCAGGTGACACGGCCCTGTGTCATGAGTCCTGCAGGAGTCTGTCCACTGGCTCCGAGAGGTGACCATGGTTGTGGAACACAGTCCACGCGTGATCCTCGGCGTGCGTGTCTATGTGCAGTGGCCACATGCCACGTCACTGTGTCCTTGTTTATGCCTCTGCCACTTGGGGCCATCCCTCAGCAGCGTCTCTACACACAAGGATGGGGACCTTGCATAGAGACTGGCTCCTGCCTCCTACCCCAGCCCTCGGTGGTGGCTCCCAGATGTGGGGCAGAAGGCAGCAGAAGGCGGAACCACACTACCTCCAGACTGAGCTGGGAGGCCCCAGGCCCCTCTCACCCAGGGCAGCTCTCTGCCCACAGGCAAAGGAAGCTCAGCACTTGCTCACCTCCCTCCCAGGTAATTGCTGGGCGGAGGAGCAAGTCCAGGGGCCCCTGGGCCTGAGAGCAACAGGGGAGAGAGAGGCAGGGAAAGTGAAACCTGGGAGAGAGAGGAAGCCCAGAGGCAGGACAGAGAGGAAGTAGGAAAGAATTCACAGGCAAGTCCACAGCAGATGGGAAGGAAGGCAGCAGAGGGAGACTCACCCTGGCCCTGGACACGCATTTCTTGTCTGGACAAGTGATCTCCCGGCGGTTACCCTCACCCCTATTCAGAACCATCGGCTAAACACCAGGTCCAATCATGCCCCTCCTGTGTCCAGAACCTGCGTGGCTCCCATCTCCCTCAGAGTATATGTTCCTGCAGATCCTACATGCCTCATCTGCTCTAGGAAGCAGTACTAATGTGGGATGGCAGACACCCTAAACTCAAGCTGCCTGGGTTTGAATCCCAGCTCTGCCACTTATTGGCTCTGTGAAGTTAACAACGAATTGTAACCTCTCTAGGCCTCAGTATTCCCATCTGTAAAGCAAACTTTCCATAAAGGACAAGATAGTAAATGTTTTCAGCTCTACTCAGCTCTGCAGCTGTAGCAGTAAGACAGCCATAGACACTATGCAGGACTTCAAAAAGTTTGTGGAAAATGGAAAGTACAGGTTTATTTCAGTGCAAAAAACTTGAAATGCATACGTAGTTCTTAAATTTTATATATATAATAGACATTTCCATAACTTTTTGAAGACCCTTGGTATGTAAATGAATGAGCATGGCTGTGTCCCAATAAAACTTTATTTACAAAAACAAGCACACAGCAGGAACTGACCGGAGGGCAGCAGTCAGCCAACCACTGTTCTGTGGGTTATGGCGCATGCAGTAGCTGGGAGACACCACAGAGCAAAAAAATGCTCCTCTCTGGCTTGTGAGCCTTACTGTCTGACTCAGCTCCCAACACCCTACCCTTCTCACCCTCTTCCCACCACACTGGCCTCTTTCCTCACTGTGCGGCACACCCAGGTTCCCTGACACTTCCAGGTCTTTGCTTTTATCTTCTTCCAATCAAAAACACTGCCCCGAAGCTTCTCCAGGTTGCCTTCTTGCCTCCTTCAAGTCTCAAAGGCTACCTCCTCCTCAAAGCCCTCTCTCACTGGAGACACTTTTATTTATTTATTTATTTAGCTATGGGGTATATGTGCTTGACAGACAGAAACAGTGAGAGAGAGGATGAGAGAGAAAGTCTCTCATCCCCCAGGGATGGCCTCACCATAATCCCATCTCTTCCAGTCTCCTCTAGGGATTTTGGGCATGCATACACACGCACCCAGTGTGATTCTTAAGCCACCAGATCTGGGCCTCTAATTGCACATGCGCCATGTGGGATCCAGCACCTTAACCTCCATACCACCTCCTGGCCCTAAAACTACTTTTTACCAGAAAATAGCAGCTATTCCCTCAGCTCTCTAGGCTTCTGCTTCCTGGCTTCGGAGAAGGGTATTACCTGTCCTCGGAGTACTGTTAGGATGAGCGAATGAGCTCACTGATAGAAGGTGCTCAGAGCCAGGCCTGGCACTCAATGTACAGCTCTAACTGGTCCACCACTGGCCACCTGTGCCCTCAGAACACCTGTGGGCAGGTGTTCCTGGGCTCCGGGACAAATGAATGGAGAAGAGCCACCGGAAGAGGTAAGGAGAGGTGGAGCAGAAGTCCAGAGAACATCAGGGAGGAGACCCCACTCAGGCGCCCAATGACCACAGACACCTCAGTCCTCTCCACCTTTAATGGGCCGCCAGTTAGGCTTGGGGCGCGGGTGTCCTTAAATACAGCCCCGGGGGGCGGGGCGGGGCGGGGGCGGGGCCGTGGGCAGCGGCTCCAGCGCCTGGGGCACGCAGCAGGGCGCCGCCGACGCGCCGGGGTTGTGCTGATTGTACAGGGCCAGGACCTGCGGGCGGGCGCGGGGTCAGGGCTCTGGCAGGGGGAGGGAGGCCAGCCTCACCTCCAGCCCCGACCCCCGCCTACCTCTCCCTTTCCCAGACTTCTCTGCCTCTCCCCAGCCCTCTCTCCCTATCACTCAGTCTCTCCCCATTTCTGTCTCTCCCCAGCCTTCTCTCCCCCTAGTCCCATCTCTCGCCAGGCCCTTCTCTCTTTGGGGTGATTTTTCACTTTCCCTCTCACTGTCTCTCCACATTCCTGTCTCTTCCCATCTCTCTAGTTCCCTGTCCCCCTCTCTATTCATGCCTGTCTCTCCCTATCACTGTCTCTTGCCATCTCTTTGTTTCCCTCTGTCTCCACCCAACCTTGTCTCCCCATTTCTGGCTCTTGGCTGTGTATCCCAATCTGTCACTCCCCTTTCCTCTTCCTGTAATTCTGTGTCTGTCTTTCTCTCTCATCTTCCATCTCTCCCTCTCCCCTTCACCCTGTCCCTGTTCCTCCAGGTCTGCCATTCCACCGTCCTCTGTCACTGTATCACTGACTGCTCAGATGCTGTCTGTATCCACTGTCCACCCCTCTCTCTTATCATCCTGTCAGCTCGTCTCTGATTTCATCTGTGTCTCCTCCAGTTCCTGTTCCCCCAACCCACCCCCTGCCCCGAAGGCCAGGCGCACCTTGCTGTACTGCGTGTCCAGGCTCCAGATGTAGGGGCAGGGCCCCAGGCAGAAGTTGGCATGGTAGCCTTTGGGCTCGTGGATCCACTTCCAGCCCAGGTCCTTGCGGAAGTCGATGTACAGCTGTCGCACGCAGCAGTTCTTCTCTGTGGAGCTGCAGCAGGAGGGACACAGGTCAGGAGCAGGCGCCAGCTGCCACCGCAGGTGGGCCATGCCCCTCCTCCCCAGCATGTGCGTGTCACCCTTGGTCGCCCCCACCCCTCTGCACCCCCTGTGATAGAAATAGTAATAGTAATACCCATAACACTGATCAAGCACGTCCTCTCACTGAGCACTGTGCTAAGAGCCAGGTAACAAATACCTCCTCTGGCAATGCTCAAGACAAGCCTGTAAGAAGCTGAGCGATCCCCACAGGGAAGGACTAATTAAACATGGTCCGTCCCTACACTGGAACACAGAAACGCTCCACGTGTACTGACATGTTCTGTCTGGGCAACACATGTTTCCTGAACTACCACCATGTGCCAGGCTGGCCTCTAATGGTGTCCTGTCTGTTCCTTAGGCACAGCCCTAACTCGGAGTCTTTGCGCTTGCTGTTCCCTCTTCCTGGCTGGCTATTCCTGCAGATGTCCACTCTGGCCTGTTCCTTCACCTCACTTAAACCATGGCTTGAATGTCCTTCACTCAGTGGGCCTTAACTCCTAAAACAGTGCCTGGCATGCGGTGTGTGCTGAATGTACATCATGTATACAGATGAACATCTCCCCCGAGACTTCCCCAGCCCCCAGCCCAAAGGATTGTTCATTCCATTCAGTGCAATACAACATTGGAGCTAAGCAAGAAAATACGGAAATATCCACATCTGCCATGGGCAAAATCTCATCAGCTGTTGAAACTGGACAAAAGTTCGTAGTGCTCATTACATTATCTTTGTTGCTTTGTATACATTTGAAATTGCCCATAACAAAACCATTTTAATCAGAATAGGGAAAATAAATATGTATTCCTTTCTGTGTTCTTCCTCTGATTTACTTTCCTTCTTTTTTTTTTTTTTTTTTTTTCAGTTTTGCCTTAGGGCACATATGCTCCCGGGAAAGACACAGAGATAGTGAGAGGGAAAGCGAGAAATTACCACCCCCGCAGGGGTAATAGCCACACAATAATCCCTTCTCTTCCATTCTCCTCTTGTTAGTTGGGGCATGCGTGCACATGCACCAGCATGATTTTCAAGCCTCCAGGTTCGGGACTTGAACTGCAGAGTTGGCCATATGAGATCCAGCCACCTTAACTTCCACACCATCTGCTGCCCCCTATTTTCCTATGACATATTGGCACCTGTTATCTTCAGACCGATGGTCTGTCTTCCTCTGTAGATGGGGAGTCTTGCCTGCTTTGACCCTACTGTATCCCCAGTGCTTACACCAGGGCCTGGCAAGCAGTAGGTGCCCAGCAGAGGTATAAATTCATCAATTCACATTCTATAAAAGTAACGTGGAAGCCGACCTCAGCGGCACAGATGGCAGCACACTTATCTGCAGTGCTGGAAGTCACATGGCCAAGTGCGGTTTCAGATCCCCAGTCGACCTGAAGCATACGGGCGCTTGCCCAAGATCCTCACTAGCTGGAGCGCCGGGGAGGAGGATCGAGGCGTGATGAGACCCTGCTTGTCTCTCTCTGTCCCACACCATCACATGTACACTCTCATGAAAGAAAGAAACTTAAAAAATATATACAAATAATTGAAAAATGAAAAAGCAAGTTGAAGAATTGCAGTGTGGGGGAGTCCACCATTCTCGACTCAAGAGCCCTGTCTCATGCTCAGATCCAAAGGCCAGTCCTCCTCAGCCGGGAGCCCAGGCTTCAGCTTGTTTGTAGGAACTGGGGTGTTCTGCATGTGAGCCCCTGGGGCTACGGCTGAGAAGGGCAGGGAGCCTGGCCAAAAAGGCTGACTCACAGACGCCAAGAGCACTTTCTACTGCATGTTCGTGCCATGCAAAAGGAACACTATGCAAAGGTACAGGTACAAATTCCGAATTCTGCTCTGCCTAAAAGAACTGGAAGGAAATATATTAAAATGTCGGCAGGGAGGTTTTTTTTTGTTTTTAAGACATGGTCTCCCCATGTCATGGTCCTCCTGCCTCAGCCCCTAGCCGGGACTACAGAAAATGACCCTGCACTCAGCTCTTCGTTTTTCTTTTAGACAGTGTCTTGCTATGTGCCCACTCCAGCCTTCAGCTCACAGCCCTCCCACCTCAGGCTCCTGAGTCACTGAGATTACAGGCACATGTGACAGTGTGTGTGGCTTTTAGGTTGGACAGAGAGTCGAGCCTGGGCCTCCCATGTGGTGCCAGTGGAGTATTTTAGCAGCAGAGGCCACTACAGCTGACCCGGATGGTGACTTTTTACATGTGGTAGTATGAGTGCTATCTTTCTGTAGTTTCCAAATTTTCAAGATAGGGGGAGCCAGCAGTTGGTGTAATGGCTATGTCTTTGGAGTCCCATGTAGTTGACCATGGTTTGAGTCCTGGGCCCAGTGGCTTAAACTCACACCAGGTGTGAGTGCATGCATGCCCAAGATCCTGAGAGGAGAATGGAGGAGAAGGGATTGTGGTGTGGCCATTCCCCATTGGGGGGGATTTCTTACTTTCTGTCTCTGTCTTTCTGGTGAGCACACACGCCCTATAGCAAAAACCTCTAAAAAAATTTTTCAGGATAGGGTATGTTTACTATTACAATCAGAACAAAATAATTGAAAGAAAGAAAATTCAGGCTCAAAAAAGACGACCATTTGCTGGGCCAGGAGGTGGCGTGGTGGTTGAGGGTTCTGGACTCCCACATGGCTGACCATGGTCTGAGTCCCAGACGTGGTAGCTGGCTTACTCACTTTCCTTCTCTCTCTCTCTCTTGCTCTGTCCCTCTCTGGTCAAATTAAAATAAATTTAAATACATTCAAATAAGATAATTCTTTAAAAAATAAAAAGGCTGGGACCAGCAGTTAGCGTAAGGGCTATGTCGCTGGACTCCCACGTAGTCGACCGCAGTTCGAGTCCTGGACCCGGTGGCTTAAACTCATGCCGGGCGCAGGTGCATGCGTGCCCAAGATCCCGAGAGGAGAATGGAGGAGAAGGGACTGCGGTGTGGCCATCCCCCCTGGGGGATGATTTCTCGCTTTCTGTCTCTCTGTCTCTCTCTGTCTGTCTGGTGAGCGCACGTGCCCTATAGCAAAAATCTCTCAAAAAAAACCTTAAAAAATAAATAAAAAGGCTACCATTTGGAAGAAATTTTTAAAATACATATAAATGTGTCATGCCGAGACTACCTCTGAAAGGAGACACAAATTCTGGGCCAGTGACAGAATGCAGAACTTGAACTGTCTAGTCAGCTGTGTGGGATACAGGGCCTTAACCACCATGCCACCTGTTGGCCCCTAACTTTCTTCATTTCTGTTGACTCACAAAAGGAGAACAACTATCTAGAATCTTTTTTAAAAATAGTTTATACAGGGACTTGCTATGTCAGAGGACTGCAATCCTTCTGTCCCAGGCTTCCTAGTCCCTGGGACTATAGGCACATGCCGCCCTGCCCTGCTTGTTAGGGTGGAGCAGGAATTGACCCCAGGCCTCCCATGTGGCCTTAGCCTGCCAAGAAGCAGCATTTACTAGTGTCCACTACCATGGCCGAGCCCAGAATCAGCTTTAATTTCTAGTCCAACTCCAAGTGCTATTCTGAGGTCTAAGATTTGGTCAGCCAACCCCAAGTTCTCCACGTGGGTCCTGAGCCTCACAGCAACAACGGCAGCAACAGAGAACTTTAGGAAATGCAGGCTTGGGCCCCATCCCAAACCCGCTGAATCAAAAACTGTATGTGTGGGGTGAGGGTGAGGGTGGGGGACAGCAATTCACATGGAACAAGCCCTCCAGGTGGGTTTAGTGCACACTCTAACCCAATGACTAGTGCACATCCTGGCATCTGGGCCATGACATGAACAGCCTTGTACCTTTGCAAAGCCTCTTCTGTCCAGTCTATCAAGACCCACCAGCGCTGATGAGTTAAAAGAAATAGATCTGGGACCCCAGGGGAGGGGAGGAGAGGGTCGCCCACAGATCTTACATCACTTAGGAGGGTAGACAAAGTGGTATAAGAGGCTTTCCAGATGAGGTGGTCTTTGAGGTGATTTAATGTTTGGGGCCAGCAGGTGGTAGAGTGGTTAAGATGCTGGACACCCACATGGCTGACCATGGTTCAAGTCCCACACCTGGTGGCTTACCTTCTCCTCTCGGGATCTTGAGCACGCACGCACACGCGCCCGGCATGAGTTCTAAGCCACCGGGTCCGGGACGCAAACCATGGTTGACTACGTGGGAGTCCAACGACATAGCCATTATGCTAACTGCTGGTTCCCCAGATCCAGGTCTTGAACTGTGGTCAGCCATATGGAAGTCCAGCATCCATAACCACCACGCCACTTGCCAGCCCCTAGGAGTCTTTTAAAAATACATAAAACCCTTCTTTGACTCTATGTGTATATATGTATGTGTGTGTGTTATACATCTATAAAACACCACTCCCCTGTGGTGGTGTTCAACATGCTCCTCTGTCCCTGTATTTTTGGAAAATGAGTAGCAGGAAATTCACAACATGCTAACTGAACTTCCACTTTCTTTTTTAATTTGACCAGAGAGAGACAGTGAGAGAGGGAACTGAGAAAGCAAGCCGCCAGGTCCAGGACTCGAACCACAGTCAGCCATGTGGGAGTTCAGTGCCCCAACTACCACACCACCTGCCGGCCCCTGAACTTCCACTTTCTAGGAATCCCACACTTCAACCTTCTTGGATGACAACTTTCTGGCATTCTATGAGCTGGACATCCTGACAGCATTTCCAACTTTCTAGGATTCCCACTTTCCAGCTCCTGAGGACCTTGGCATTCCCGAGTGCCACTAGTTCAACACTGCATTCTGACATTCCACAATGCTGAGCCCATCACTGAAGAGGTCCAGCCTGACCTTTCTCAGATCCCAGCAGTTCGAGTTCACTCCAGCACTGAGTTCCAGCACATCGAGATGCCAAATGCTCCCGCTTTCTCCAACTCCAGCACATGGACACTAATATGTCAACATGCTGCCACCACTCTGAGCCCAGTACTCACGGACTTGAACCTGCCACTGCTGGAAACTACGACCTGCCAGTGATGCAGACGCCAGCACAGGTGACCTTCCAATTCTGACTTCCCAACCTCACAGCTTTCCCTCAGCCTGGGATCCACAACTACAATCATGAACACTGAACTCTACAGCATTCTAGAATCCCAACACTCTGCAGCTCCAACCTGCCAACACTCCTGCAAGAAGGCAGCCTCATCCCAACATGGCAGGCCTCTCGGTGCCCACATCCCATACCTAGAAGCCTTCAGGTTAAAGGACACTGAGCCTGAGCTTGGTGCCAGCCCAGTGCCTAACCCAGAGTGCCTGGCCAGCAGACCACAAGCAAGACCCCCCCTGGAAGGCCTCAGCTGAGCCTAGGCCGCAAGGTTCACCTGAAGCAGTAGTTGGTGTCCAGGGCTCGGCGGTGTCGGGGGCTGTGCAGGTGCTGGGCCCTCTCCAGAGGGGTAGCCATGAGGAGTAGGAAGGGTCGGTTCATGCCATGAATGGTGGCCAGGTCACCCCGGCGGCTGGAACTGAACCCTGCTTTGGTTTGTGAGTTCAGGGGTGAGAGACACACATGCACACTCTCTGTGATGGGTCAGTGGGGCAGGGTGGCAGACACACACATGTACCCTCTCTCTCAGGGGGCAGATTGTGGGCAAGTGGCAGGCAGATGGGGAGAACTCACTGCACCCTCAGGGCGATGGAGTGGTGGGGCAGGGAGGCACATCCATGCACACACACACACACACACACACACACACACACACACACCCAGGCCACTCTTCGGGGCTGCGGGCCGGGCGGGGG